AAAATGAACACAGAAAATATAAACAAAACCTAAAGGAAACTATTATAATAGCATTGTAATTCTACTAAAATAACACTGGAAGGAAGCCAAGACACAGAACTGAAAGCAAGACGTACCTGAATATCCAAACACTGCAGCACTGAGATACAGAACGTGGCTGTTTTACCGGTTCCAGACTGTGACCTGGAGAAGAAACAAGCCGTGTTAGTCCATTTACACAAACAAAACATACACAGATGTTTACTGCATTTCTATCAATTCTCCACAACATAACTCCAGCGGGACTCACTGGGCGATCACGTCTCGTCCCTTGATGATCTGCTTGATGGCTCGCTGCTGGATGGCTGACGGTTTCTCAAAACCTGAAAGCAATAAACAATATAATTATTCAAATAAACACTCATGGTATTTACATAGTACAGTGTTAGCGAGCGGAACTGTCTAATAACAAGACATTATCCTAATGATAAACATCCCGCAATACATCTATAAGACTGTAAGAATCAAGCAACAGAAATAACCTTGCATATGCAAGAACAAACAACTTCATTCTGATCTCTTTCTTTCTCTCTCTCTCTCACTCACACACACACTCTCTCTCTCACACACACACTCTCTCTCTCACACACACACTCTCTCTCTCACACACACACTCTCTCTCTCACACACACACTCTCTCTCTCACACACACACTCTCTCTCTCACACACACACTCTCTCTCTCACACACACACTCTCTCTCTCACACACACACTCTCTCTCTCACACACACACTCTCTCTCTCACACACACACTCTCTCTCTCACACACACACTCTCTCTCTCACACACACACTCTCTCTCTCACACACACACTCTCTCTCTCACACACACACTCTCTCTCTCACACACACACTCTCTCTCTCACACACACACTCTCTCTCTCACACACACACTCTCTCTCTCACACACACACTCTCTCTCTCACACACACACTCTCTCTCTCACACACACACTCTCTCTCTCACACACACACTCTCTCTCTCACACACACACTCTCTCTCTCACACACACACTCTCTCTCTCACACACACACTCTCTCTCTCACACACACACTCTCTCTCTCACACACACACTCTCTCTCTCACACACACACTCTCTCTCTCACACACACACTCTCTCTCTCACACACACACTCTCTCTCTCACACACACACTCTCTCTCTCACACACACACTCTCTCTCTCACACACACACTCTCTCTCTCACACACACACTCTCTCTCTCACACACACACTCTCTCTCTCACACACACACTCTCTCTCTCACACACACACTCTCTCTCTCACACACACACTCTCTCTCTCACACACACACTCTCTCTCTCACACACACACTCTCTCTCTCACACACACACTCTCTCTCTCACACACACACTCTCTCTCTCACACACACACTCTCTCTCTCACACACACACTCTCTCTCTCACACACACACTCTCTCTCTCACACACACACTCTCTCTCTCACACACACACTCTCTCTCTCACACACACACTCTCTCTCTCACACACACACTCTCTCTCTCACACACACACTCTCTCTCTCACACACACACTCTCTCTCTCACACACACACTCTCTCTCTCACACACACACTCTCTCTCTCACACACACACTCTCTCTCTCACACACACACTCTCTCTCTCACACACACACTCTCTCTCTCACACACACACTCTCTCTCTCACACACACACTCTCTCTCTCACACACACACTCTCTCTCTCACACACACACTCTCTCTCTCACACACACACTCTCTCTCTCACACACACACTCTCTCTCTCACACACACACTCTCTCTCTCACACACACACTCTCTCTCTCACACACACACTCTCTCTCTCACACACACACTCTCTCTCTCACACACACACTCTCTCTCTCACACACACACTCTCTCTCTCACACACACACTCTCTCTCTCACACACACACTCTCTCTCTCACACACACACTCTCTCTCTCACACACACACTCTCTCTCTCACACACACACTCTCTCTCTCACACACACACTCTCTCTCTCACACACACACTCTCTCTCTCACACACACACTCTCTCTCTCACACACACACTCTCTCTCTCACACACACACTCTCTCTCTCACACACACACTCTCTCTCTCACACACACACTCTCTCTCTCACACACACACTCTCTCTCTCACACACACACTCTCTCTCTCACACACACACTCTCTCTCTCACACACACACTCTCTCTCTCACACACACACTCTCTCTCTCACACACACACTCTCTCTCTCACACACACACTCTCTCTCTCACACACACACTCTCTCTCTCACACACACACTCTCTCTCTCACACACACACTCTCTCTCTCACACACACACTCTCTCTCTCACACACACACTCTCTCTCTCACACACACACTCTCTCTCTCACACACACACTCTCTCTCTCACACACACACTCTCTCTCTCACACACACACTCTCTCTCTCACACACACACTCTCTCTCTCACACACACACTCTCTCTCTCACTCACACACTCTCACTCTCTCACACACACACACACACACACACACACACTCATCTAAACAAACACATCACACGGTTTTTTTTAAATAGCTTTTAGAGATTTTATATATAAAACAATGACTACTAACGAAATTATACCAGACTGAATGTTAAGATTTAAAACCGTAAACATAAGTGTACGCTTTTTAATCTACGGTCTCCTCAGCTTCTGATAAACAAGAGACGGTTATTGATCGATGTAACGTATCGATGTAACGTATCAATGTAACGCTCAGATCAACTCTAACGTCCCAATAACTCTACACGAGTACATCTAGAGCTGCTATGTGGTGAATTAGAGCGGTAATGAGTGATTAATTAAGTGTTTGTACCGTACGCGTAGATCCCGCGCAGCAGATCTTCCCTCAGGCCCATCGTGTCAAACGTCGGCGTCACATCCACCTCTTCGCTCGTCTCAAACTCGATTTTCGTCATGTCTTCCTCCTTCATGATCCTCTTCCTCACGGGAACTGCGGCGGCGGCCATAATTATTACAGATTTTGATTATAAATCACGAGCTGAAATATGAAAGCGCGTCTGTGCGTGTCTGCAGGCCAAACGGAAGTGCCGCGTGCGTCGCAGCTGTGACGCACAAAGCAGGAGACGCGCGGTGACGTCACCGGACTGGCCCCGCCCACTACACTTTCTTTTAACGAAACAAACCGAGTTTAAGAGTTTAAAATAATAATATTTCATCCCGAGTAAATAAGAAGGCAAGTAGAACGACCTTAATTTATAATGACTAATTTGCAGTCTAATTTGAAAGAATAAATTTAATGAGAATCCACGGATGACAAAGGGCTTACAAAATGCTTGTAAAAAAAAAAAGAATACCTTGTATAGAGAATTTATAAAGCACAGAACTATTGAAGCTGATAATAAGTATAAACGATATAAAAATAAGCTGACTAGTATTATGAGGATAAGTGTGTATTTCCAAGTAAAATGAAAATTGCCAAAAAGTCATTCCATTATATAAAGCTGGAGAAAGAAATCAATGGACTAATTATAGGCCATTGTCTCTACTCTCTCAGTTCTCTAAAATACTGGAAAAAGTGTGCGTTAATAGACTGGAACATTTTATGGAACAGCATGGATTGTTAGTTGATAGTCGGTATGGATTTAGGTCGAACAGATCCACATCCATGGCATTAATGGAGTTAACTGAAAATATTACTAGTACTATAGATAATAAGAACTATGCAGTGGGAGTATTTATAGAGTTGAAAAAAGCTTTTGATACAATTGATCACCGTTTATTAATCAATAAATTGGAAAATTATGGTATCAGAGGGGTTGTACTTGAATCAAACGATTCGCGCTCTGAAGCTTCGGTCTGAATCAAACGATTCGCGATCTGAAGCTTCGGTCTGAATCAAACGAGTCGCGATCTGAAGCTTCGGTCTGAATCAAACGATTCGCGATCTGAAGCTTCGGTCTGAAGTATTAAATGATTAACGTTAGTGCACTTCCAGAATTAATCTAAAAAGATGAGCATTTGTGGTTAAAATGTATATACTTAAGTTAATTTTTTTAGGAAATGCCCAATCGTTTGACTAGATAAGGCCCTTATTCCTCGGCTGGGATCCTGGAGAGCTCTTCAAAGCTGCATTTCTAACCTTCTGTCCATTGAGCAGCAAAGAAGTCCACTATATGGAGAAAAGTCCAGGAATGTTTTCCTCAAAAACCTTCATTCTTTTCAAAAGACATGAACATCAGGACATTTCTATTCTGGAAGGGAACTAATCCTTTATTCATGACGACTGATTTCAGAAATCAATATCATTTCAAAGTATTTTCCAACAAATTTTCATCAAAATCTGCTCATTTTAGAAATGCACAACTCACCCAGGTTATAAAAGTGCACTTCTATAATGTACTTAAAGTGCTCTATTTTCACGCACTAATTTTGTACTTAATGCACTAAAAGTGATTCTTTAGCACTTCTTAAGATCGACTCAACTGTGCTATTCCGGGACACCATGAATATGAACTAAAATGTGCTTTTAACTTACTATCTCTGTATTTAGTCACCCCTTGAGTGCACTAGTGTATGAAAGCACTTTAAGTACATTATGGAAGTGCACTTTTTTTCTTTACACCTGGGCACACTGTGATCTTAGCTGCGTCCCAAATGATGCACTTATACACTATGCACTCAATCATGAAGTGTATGAATTATATAAGGATATTTTGTCATTATAATCGGAGTCTGGTAGCCCCTCCCCCTTCACTACGTAATTAAAGCTGTGACAGCTGAGTGCATGAAGTGTCCAACATCCCACACTTCTGTTTTTCGGTTATTTAAGTGCATCATCCGGGTATTTAAAAGAGAACTTTTTCTTTTTGGAATTTTCAGTGTGAACCTCTTGATAAAGTCAACGCAAACTCAAGCTTGATGAAATAAGACAGAAGCAGATCCGGCTCAAGACTCAGATTTATTGTGGGATGTTCCAACGAGCCACAGAAAGAAACACAGTCCGAGACCAAACGATGTGAATTAGTACGAAACAGCGTCCGGTTTACTGGTCCTTCAGCTCCTTCAGACGCTTGATGGCAGATTTGACCGTGACGGCTGACGTCGTGCTGCGGGACGGACAGCAAACATTAGAGACGATCAGAGATGCTGTCATTCATTAATCATGGGGTTCAGTCTTACTTGTACGTCCAGGCGCCTCCAGCGACGGTTTTCATGCAGGAGCCACAGTGCCAGATCCCCACAGCCTTTCTCTTCATCTTAGTCTGGACAGAGACAAACACCTTAACCTCGCAGAAACCGCAGTCACAAGATTCTGAACGGTAAGATTTTTAGTGCGTTTTAAAGAAGTCTCTTCTGCTCACCAAGCATGCATTTATTTGAGCCAAAGTACAGCAAGAGCAGTAATATTGTGAAATATTTTTACTATTTAAAATAACTGTTTTCAATGTGAATATATTTTAAAATGTAATTTATTTCTGTGTTTTCAAAGCTGAATTTCTAGCATCATTACTGCAGTCGCACGATCCTTTAGCAATCTTTTTTGCTAAAAAAAAAACAAACAAACAAAAAAAAAGCTTAAAACAGCTGAGTAGAATTTTTCTTTGATGAACAAAGTTCAGAAGAACAGAATTGATCTGAAATAGATTTTTTTTTGTAACATTATGCCCTTATCGTCAGTTTTGATTAATTTAAAGCATCCTTGTATAATGCTACAAAAGCTTTTATTTCAGATCATCTTTAGATCTTTCTATTCATCAAAGAATCCTGGAAAAAAAAAAAAAAAAAAAAAGAGAA